TCACCTCGAGGGTGTGTGTGGAATGTTGGGCAGGACCAGGATGTGGATGAGTCGCCCCAGAGCGTGGCAGAACGCTATCGGGGATCTCCGGAGAGCTCTGCAGCGGCGACGACGCCTGGTGTGCCTTCCTGACTATCCGGCTCTCAGAGATTCCTGACTTTTTCCATCCGCGTTTGTCTTGTTGCCGGCGTCTTATTAGGGGCTCCCCAGTTCGGGGGGCGGGGTTCTGTCTTGCTTGCCCTGAGGACCTGCTCGAGAAGGCCCAGGCTCAGCTCAAGGAGGCGTCTGGAGCCGAGACCGCCAATCTGCACAACTTCCAACAGCTCAAGCAGAGCATCGAGGAGCGCAGGAGGAGGAGGGTGAGGAGAAGGGGCAGGAGGGGGATCCAGAGGGGAGGGGGAGGAGGAGGAAGCGGAGGGGGAGTAGGGAGGCAAGCTAGGTGCGCTCGCGTCATATCTGACGTCCTGCCCCTCCCATCCCGTATCGTGGCTGAGATCTCCTTTCTATTCGCACAATCGGATGGCGTAGCATCGCGTAGCACTGCATGGCATAGCATAGTATGGTGTTGAAGATTCACGCGTGGCATGACATAGCATGGCGTTGCGACGCCCCAAAGTGGTGTGGTAGGGGGGGGGCTTCTGCGGCCCAAAAAATCAACGAATCGTCACCGAATGTGGAATCACTTCCGATGGCTTCTTCGGTAGGCAATGTGTTTGATTTTGGTGCTTATTTTGCATGACCGAAAACCATGCCGTGGCATGTCTCTGGAAATCATGACGCCAGCTCTGCAGCGGGAGCACGATTAGGAACGAGTGGAAGCGCGGAAATGAAGCCAGCGCTGCAGCGGGAGTACGATTCGGCACGAGCGGTGTCTAGAAAATGAAGTCAGCGCTTCAGCGAGAGCAGCATCTTGAAAAACCCAGCGAAAACCCAATTCACAGGAGTCTTGTGCGCAAAAAACCATACGCGGAGGGGGGGGCGCCATTTCCTGGACGTCACCAGGGGAGAGAGGAGAGTCGTATTCATTCATGTGTAATTGGGGAGGAGAGGGGGAAAGGGGAGGAAGGAGAGGAGGAGGAGGAGGAGGAGGAGGAGGAGGAGGAGGAGGAGGGGGAAGGAGAGGGGGGGGGGGGAAGGGAGAGGGGAGGGAGAGGGAAAGGGGAGGAGGAGGAAGGGGAATGATGCTGACAAGGGGGACGAAGAGGGGGAGGAAGAATGAGGAGAGGAGGGGCAGGGGAAGGAGGGAAAGAGGTGGAGGATGAAGGTTCGAGGCATGAGAACGAGGAAGACGAGGATAAGGACCGCGGGATATGCAGAGGGCAGGATGGATGATCTGACACACCCTTTGTTGAAAGTATGTATTTTGGTTTCCCAGACCCCAATATACTGTATCCGCCTTCCTTCTTTAAGAGTCGAGTGGTATTCCATCTTCTCTCCTCTTCACTTGGCGGGCGGAGATCCAGCCTACCTCTAACGCCCTCCTACTTCATGTTTCTATCCACTTCTCTGGACCGACATGCAATGAGGAGCAATGGGACGATACGCAGGAGGAAGAGCAGGGTGTCCGTCCAGGGTAGATATCCTGGATGAGTCGGGTGTTGGACAGGGGCTCTCCAATATTTGGAGACGGTGTTCGTGATGGTTGCTAGGGCCAGCCATCTTGGCCTGGACGAGGCGCGGGAGGAGGAGAAGGAGGGCAAGGAGGTGGAGGGTGGGAGGATGTGGCGGAGGAGGTCGACGGAGGAAGGTTAGGAAGTGGAGGACGAGAAGGAGGGAGACAGGGAGGGGAGTCGAAGCAACGAGGACGAGATTGCCTACGGCAAGAAGGAGCTGGCCGAGGCGAAGGCCAACACGGCCTCGAGCGGGGAGAAGAAGGCCCCAGGGGTTGGTCCTCCAACTTCACAGCCTGCATCCTCGTTCCTCCTCCTCCTCGACCCTGCTGCCCGATTATCATCATCAGCATCAGCATCATCATCGTCCTCGTCGTCATCATTGTCGGTGTCGTCATCATCACCATCACCATCATCATCATCATCCTCATCATCACGATCGTCATCATCATCATCAAGGTCACCATCACCATCATCGCCATCACCATCATAATCTCCATCATCATCCTCATCGTCATCATCATCATCATCATCATCCTCATCATCATCATGATCATCATCTTTGTCGTCATCATCCTTTCTATTGTCGTCATCATCATCATCATCATCTTCTTCATCATCATCCTCGTCATCGTCGGCGTCGTCGTCGTCATCGTTATCGTTATCGTCCGAACTGGGGTGCCTTCAGCCCTCTCTGGGCCTCCTGCGGCCTCTTGGGACCTCCGAGTACCTTCGGAGCCCTCAGGGAACCTGTGGAGGCCACCTCCTCCCCTCCCCCGATCCTCGCCTGGCAGAGGGCCGCGAGAACCTCCAGGCCGCCCTGAGGAAGGCGAGGCCCGCTCCCCTCCTCCGTAACGGCATCGTGCCGGTGCAGTAAAATTGTACAAACGCGCGGGACCCCGCATGACATGGGCGCACAATGCCAGGTGGATCTCCTACATGCGTGCGCCAAGTGACGGGTAGATTGGCTGCAGACAGAAGAATGGCACCGCAAAAGCAGGCAGTTCTGTGTATCGAGCGTTCTTGGGAAAAGGGGGGATCTGCCTTGCTGAATGCGTCTCAGAAATTAGGCACATGAATGCTTGTACATTTGTGCAGTTGTCAGTTTCTTGCGAGCTCGAGCGCGGCGCACGCGACGGCCCGTGCAGCCATTTGGTTCTTAGCCACCTTGGAGTTACCTCGACCGCCCAGTTTTCCGCCGGCGGCCGGCAGGAAGACCAACCCACCGGCGGCCATCAAAACGACGCGATGATCCCTTGCGCGAGCTCGCCTCTTCGAACAGGAAGGAGTTAGTGGTCGCGGCGAATCTTGCGCGCGCAAGTGCCAGATGGGATCGGACAGGGGGCCACCGCAGCAGGGATAGCAGCCAGCAAGGGCCACGACGAGGAGAGCAATCAGTCTGACAACAAAGCAGCATCCGGAGGGAACGCGCAGCATGAAGCTCGGGGGGGGTGGGGGGGGGGCGTTCTGAGCGGCATCTTCAGGGGCGTTCGGACGCGGAGCCCGCCGCGCAGTGGCAGAGGACGCAGAGCCGGCAACAGAAACGCAAGAGACGGAGAATGTGGGCCTCGCCAATGCGAGTTTTTCGCTCGCGCACGCAGCGCTCTTTGCCCCGGACGTGGCAGAACTTGCCGGATTGCCTCGCAAGAGTCTGGAGCGAAAGACGTACGTACCACGTACATGAACCCACGCTGGTTTCTGGAGTGCGCGTTGCGCGATTGTTCGCGCATCGCGTGGCCGGCCTCGCGGATCGAGGGGCCGTGCTCATGTACGTAGCTGGGCGCGTACGTCCTTTGAGGGCTCCCCAAAAGAATCGGCGACCGCAAAGGGTGCGGTTACGCCTGGGTGCGGTTTGCGATCGGCGCCGTAGGGGCCTGGAGGGCACGACACTGTCCTCGTCGGGCCTCCTCGGGGCGCGGCGGGGATCTCCATCGAGGCACCCGCCCACCCCCCACGGTGACCCCCCAGGGTGCCGATTGCAAACCACGCCCTTTGCAAACCGCACCCTTTGGAGTCGCCGCAGGAAGCCCGAGGGTCGGGGGCCGTCCGCGAAGCTCCACGCGGCGCCTCCGCCAGGGCCCGCCGCTGCGCGGCGGCCGTGGCGGGAGCCTCCGATCCAGGCGGGGGGTGGGCGAGCCGCCCTCCACGGCCCCGCGGCCCAGAGGCCCCTGCCGAGAGGGCGCGCAGGCAGTCCGTCGAGCGCCGCTCGAGGTGGGGAGGCCGCCCCCCGGGCCCTGCCGCCCGAGTGGCGTCGCCTGCCAGCGCGAGACTGCGCGCCCCCGCCGCCTCGGTGTCGTTTCGCCAATCCCCGTCCCCATCCCCATATCCCCTTCGAGGCCCCCGGCGAATTGCCACCCCAGTTGGGGATGCACCCCTCGAAGCCCGAAGGGAACAACCCAGATCCCCATCTCCAGGGGGGCAAGGCGGCCAGCGGGGCCCAGGCCACGCCGCTGGGGATGGGGATCGGTTCAGCGATGCTCGCCGCCCCCCCTCTTGCTCTCTCTCTCTGCGCCTCCCCCGTCCTGCTCGTGCCTCCCGGGCGAGCTCTCGCGGCGTCGGGGCCCTGCCCCTGGCCCCGCAGTTCAAAGCCTGCGTGCCCGAGGCCCGGTGCAGCGTGGCTGCCCCGAGGCGCCCGCGCCCAGTCGGGTATAGCCAGGACCCCGGGTTAGGGGACCCGGTCAGTGGTAGGGCCCTGGGGCCCCTCCATTGGCCAGATCCACTGAACCAGGTTGGCTGTAACTAGTGTTTTTCGGGTGACGGCAGTTCCGCTTAGTGGACATGGAACGGGGGGGCGCCCCCGGGTACAATTCACCAAACCAGGTTCCACTAAACCCAGTTCTGCCAACTTCGTACCATCCTCGGCCATTTTGGAGCGCGGCTGCACCGTCTTGGCGTTCTCCTGAGTCAGCTCCTGGAGCGGCTTGTTGTTTGGGCGCACCCTTGGGAGCCCCGAAGGCCACGCCTAGAGCAAATGAGATCTTTGGCCCCGGGTCTGCCAGGGGCCGGGGGCCCGCCCCGGGTCGCCCCGCTCGCGCGGACTGCACGCAGCCTGGAGCTATTCTGGGGGACGTTTCCACGCCTGTGGCCCGCTGGGCCGGCGAAGTCCACGCCAATGGCAGGCCCACCTGTTACACCCACGCTGCTTCACGGGAGCGCCCCTCTCTCTCCCTCCTTCACCCACCCCTCTCTCTGAGCGGTCGGACGACCGCTGAAGACCAATGACCGCCTCCGAAAAGACCCAAGGACGCCCCCGCCATCGTCAAACAAACGACAGACACGCACACGGTAAAACATTGTCATAACATTGTTCCTCACGCCGTGCGGTGCTTCCGTTGCAGATCTTCGTTGCATATTCTCCCGCCTCCTCCTCTCGTCCTCTTCCACCCGGGTCGCCCCGTTCGCTCCTTCACCATTCTTCATTCGACGTTCTCGCACATTCGATTTTTTTATTATTTCCCCGTTGTTTCCCTCACCATTCCTCTTTTCGTCGTTCTCGGACATTCGATCTCCGAACTCCTCCAGTCTGGGACCCAAGCAGCCCTGACCTTCAAGAAGGCCCAACTCTTTCTGTCTTACCTGAAGGGCAGCGCCGTCACCCTCGGGCGTTTTTTGTTGACGGTCCCGGGGCCCGGCGAGGGCACCCCACAAATGCCGAGAGCATCGGACACAAGAGACACATCTCGCGCTGCTTTCGCACGTTTCGTTCGGATCCCTTTCCTCCCCTCCTCCTCCTCCTTCTCCTCCTCCTCCTCCTTCTCCTCCTCCTCCTGCTTCCTCTTTTCTCCTCCTCCTTCCTCTGTTTCTCCTCCTCCTTCCTCTGTTTCTCCTCCTCTTCCTCCTCCCTCCTTCCGCCTTCTCCCCCCTGTGCTGCGTTCTCTGTTTCTTCCCCTTTTCTGTTCTCCCTTGCCTGCTGCTCCTCCCGCGTGACGCTGATTCCCCCATTCCTCCTGCTTCCTCGTCTTTGCCCTCCCTCTGCTTGCCCTTCCTTTCCCCTCCTGCACGATTGCCCTCCCCCTCCGGATTCGGAGGCCGCCAGAAGGGCTTCGTTGGGCGGGCTTCGCCTGACCCGAGGCGCACCCAGCCCGATCTGAGGCCCCCCAGCCCGACAGGAGGCTCCCCCAGCAGCCGTCGCGATCAGCCTTCTCGAGCCAAACTGCCTCGCCGTTCCCGACCGCCCCCGCCGCGATTCTCTCCTCCAGCTCCTCCTCCTCCTCCTCCTCCTCCTCCACATCCTCCTGCTCCTCCTGCTCCTCCTCATTCCTCCTCCTCCTCCTCCTCCTCCTCCTCCTCCTCCTCCTCCTCCTCCTCCGTCGTGGGCTGGGGCCCGTCCGGAGGCGGCCGCGGAGGGAGACCTGCAGGCCACGAGCAGCGACCTCGCGGAGGACGTCAAGGTGCAGGCACCAGCCGGGATGGGAGCGAAGGGGGCGAGCGGCAACATCTGGCGTGAAGACGGGCCTGTCCTTTTTACAGGAGAATCAAAGGTAGTCAAAAAATCGTATGTGAACGATGTTTTATCATATGGATTGTGTATTTTTCAACATCTGTCATACAACATCCTCCTGTAGGAGGACATTCCCATGCTAAATCTAGTGGAAGCTTGCAGCAGGAAGTGGGTGGGCCGCGGTTGGAATTTTGCGCAGGGATAATGTTGAACACCCTCTGGCGGGTAACACCGGCTACCCGGCCCGACCCCCAAACCCCCAGGGTAACAGTTGATGATCCGACATGGGGAGGGGCCTGGACCCCCCACATGCAGGTGCCCGAAGGAATGCTGTGTTGATCACAGGTATGTCGTGGTTCTCACGTATTAACGTGGCACACGCTTATCTATTTGTGGTGTTCGAGCACGCGTTGTGCTGCTCGCTCGTTTGCGATTCTGACAGGATTCGCCGTTCTGTTGTGCACGCACGTGGAGCTCGCAGGCGTCTTGGTGTTCGTGGGTACAGTGTGGCGTTCGCAGGTGAATGTGATGTTCGCGAGAGAGGGAGGGGCAGGAGGACGGGCGATGACTAAGAAGAACGGTGGAGGTAAGGAACAGCACGGTTGAGGTGAAGGTCCGACACGCACAGGCCGTTGCAATCGCGGTGGCGTTTCCTATCCTGTCGCCGCCGCGTCCGCCGCCGCCACCGTCGTCGATCTCGTGTTAAGTCGGGCCTGTCCCTCTACAGGGGGGATATTCAAAAATAGTTTAAGAATAGTCATGGGACTCTTGTATGGGCATTTTTTGACAAGTTTGCTGGGCTTTTGAGTATTATGCATTTTTCGTCGAAAATCCCCCTGTTGGGGGACACGCCCGACTTAAGTCTCTTGGCTCGTCGCCGTCGTTGCCGCCCTGTTCGGCCAGCCGTGGTCTTCTCAAGGCAGGTCCCGTGCTACCGAGCTGGGGCGGCACCGAGGGGCAGCCCAGCCCTGCCGGGGATTTCGTGCTCGAGATGGTGAACCCCCTCCACTGCCTGCTAACCCACCCTTGCGCGCGTGTGTGTGTGTGTGTGTGTGCGTGTGTGTGTGTGTGTGTCTGTGTGTGCGTGTGTGTGTGTGTGTGTGTGTGTGTGTGTGTGTGTGTGTGTGTTTGTCTGTACGGCGTGGGGGGCGGTTCTTCTTCTGCTAACAAGACAGGACAAGACCGTGGCGAGTGGCGAAGGGGAAGGGAGGGCGTCACGCACGCGCAAGCACGGATTCAGGCGCGTGGATCAGCCAGGGGTTCCGCTTCCGTGCAACATGGGCGTGGTAGGTCGCCAAGCCAAGCGGCATTGGCATTCCCCGATGCGTACATCTGGCGCCCGCGCGCCAGATCCACGGACCGAGAATTCATGTTGGCGTGCGCCCGAGGGCGGAACGATAATGGGAAGGGCGAGTGGCCGAACGGATGGGGCGAGTGTCGGCGAGGAGCGGGAGGATTGTCCCTCACCTCCTCTCCTTTGTCCACCTCCTCCTGCCTCTCACTCGTCCCGTCCTCTTTCCTCGATCTATCCTCGCCCTTCTTCTGTGTTCATCTCCACTGCTTCTTTCTATCTCTAACTCCTCCTCCTTCGTCTTCTAGGGATAGAGGTGTTCGGATGCTTTCGGATTCCCACGAAATGGCCCGGGTCTGGGAGTCTCCCCCAGCTGTCCGGAGCATGATGGAGGAGGGAGAAGGTGGGAAGGAGGAGGGGGGGTGACGACAAGGCAGATCAGGATAGTAATGAGGAGGTGAGTTGTCGAGGAGAAGCGGGAGAGCAAGCAATCGGAGCAAGGAGGAGCATTTGGGTTGGAGGAGGGGGGATGACGCGAATTATCGGATGACGGGCGGCAGCTGATATTCAGCCAGTGGGTGGAAGAGGAGAGGAGGAGCGAGAAGATGGAGCTGACGAGGGTGGGCAGAAAATTGAGGGACGCAAGCACTAACACAGGGAAAAAGGGAGCAGGGTTTTACACTAAGATAAGGGGGATGAGAAGGATGGGGCCGAGAGGCAAGGGCAATCATCAGATGAGGCAAACTCAAAGATGCACTGTCCCAGCACGCACTGGGAATCATAGAGTTGGAAATTTCGGGCAACACGTTTGTGCGTCGTCCCCATCAGGGGGGTGGTATCAGTCGGCGGAGGGAATCTGGAGGAGGATTAGGACAGAGGGAATCAGATCCGCAACAGCAGGAGGGCAGATGAGGACCTTGAAGAGGATCAGGAGGATGAAGATGAGGGGTAAGGAGAGGAGGAGGGGAGGAACAATATCACAGGGATGGTGAGCAGAAGCAGAGCAAGCAATCACGTAGCCACTCGTGGAGTCCTGGTTTAAAGGCGGCATTATTCCCTGTAACGTTGCAGACGGTGATGACGATGATGACGGCCAGGAGAATGAGGATACGGATGAGTATGATGACGATGATGGTGGCAGTGATGATGCCGATGATGTTGATGCTACTAATGATGATGCTGCGGACGATAATGATAATGATGATGGTGATGGTGATGGTGAGGGTGGTGAGGGTGATCGTGAGCATGCTGATGACTATGCTGAATGATGATAGTAATGATGGGTATGCCTATGCTGCTGATGATGATAAGGATGATGATGATGATGATGATGATGATGATGATGATGATGATGATAATGATGATGAATATGCTGATGCTGATGACGATGCTGAGTGATAATGATACTGATGATGATGAGGATGATGATGATGGTCATGATTGTGATGTTGACCGTGATGATGATGATCATGCTGATCATGCTGATGTTGACGATGACGATGATGATTACGATACTGATGCTGATGTTAGGTGTTGTAAGTTAGTGACGGTGATGTTGATGAGGATCATGCTCATGATCATGATCTTGACGATGATGATGATGATGATGATAATGATTGTGATGGTGTTTGTGATGATGATGTTGAGGAGGAGGAGGAGGATGGTAGCGTCGGTGATGATGAGTATGAGTAGGATGGAGACGTTGGTGATGTTGACGTTGGTCATGCTTATGACATTGCTGTGGATGACGATTCTGAGAAGGATGTTGAAGATTACGATGGTTTATTGGTGACGAAGATTACGGGGATGGTGCTTATTAACATCTACCCGTGGCTTGCCGCCCCCCCTGGCCGTCCCACGGAAAGGCTGATCTCCACCAGCAGTGCATGACCACCGCCCAGGCGGGATTGGGAGCTGTCTGCAGCGGCGTGCCCCTCCACCTCCCCGCGTCCCTCCTCCTCCGCCCCCCCCTCGCTTCCTCCTCCCCCTCCTCCCTCCCTCCTCCCTCTCTCTCTCTCCCTCCTTCCCTTCCTCCCTCCATCGCCTCTCCGTCCTCCTCCTCCTCCTCCTCCTCCTCCTCCTCCCCTCCTCCTCCCCCCTCCTCTCATAATCATTATCAGCATCATCAGCAGCATCATCATCAGCAGCATCATCAGCATCAGCAGCAGCATCATCATCCCCGCCTTCGTCCTCCTCCTTCTCGTCCTCCTGGCTCCTTGTCCTGCTCCCCGCTTCTTCCTGTGGAGAAGTGGGGAGACGCATGCATGCGAGGGCGGGGGCGACGAGAAGTATGGTGCGGAGGAGGGGATGAAGCAGAGATATATTCGTCCGCTCTGGGTAGGGCTTGTGCAGTCAGCATCATGTGCAAGCGCGACCTTGCTCAGCCGGCAACGTGCGCCGTCAATCAGCACGATCCCGAGCGCCCCACGATTGGAAGAACATCGACTTTCACATACATTAGTGTTTGAGGTCCGTGGGTATGTCTTGGATCGGCGTGGACATCCGAGATTGTATGCCGTTTCTTATTATACCATGGCTCACCCTCGGCCTCCTCCTCCTCCTCCTTGCCATTTCCCTCCCCAGCCTCTCTCTGCCATTCCCCTCCCCAGCCTCCTCCCCCTCTTAATCTGCCTCCCACGCTCTCTCTCTCTCTCTCTATCTCTCTCCATCTCTCCTCCCCCTCCCCCTCCTCCCCCTTCCCCTCCTCCTCCTCCTCCTCCTCCTCTCCTCCTTCTCCTCCTCCTCCTCCTCCTCCTCCTCCTCCTCCTCCTCCTCCTCCTCCTCCTCCTCCTCCTCCTCCTCCTCCGCCTCCTCCTCCCCTCCTCCTCCTCCTCCGAGAGCACGTCGCAGAGGGGGGGGGGGGGGGCTGAAAACAGCGCCCCGCCGCCCGTACCCTTCTGACCCCCGCCCTGGCGCCCAGGACTTCGAGGCCGAGGTCAGGAGCCGGGCGGAGGAGCTGAAGGCTCTCGCGGAGGCAAAGAAGGCCCTCACGGAGAACACGGGCGCGGCGGACGGGCTCGCGTACGGCTTGAACCAGGTCGTCCTCGTCGTCGTCGTCGCCATCTCGTTCTTCCTCCTCCTCCTCCTCCTCCTCCTCCTCCTCCTCATCATCATCATCATCATCATCATCGCCATCATTGTCATCATCGTCATCGTCATGAACATGAACATGAACATGAACATCACAATCAACATCCACATCAGCATCAGCATCACATCTCTCTTTTTCGCTCTCTCGCTCTCTCTATCCCTCTCTCTCTATTTCCTTTCTGCTGTTTCACACCTCCGTGTACCGAAAAGGACTCGGGGACGCATGCGAAATGTACTGCTGGGTCTTGGTTGGAGCTCCCTATGGGGCCATGAAAACGCGCGAGGGGTGCGCAGAGCTGGCAGGGGGGCGGTATGTGCCCCCCCCCCCCCCCGGGACGTGTAAGGGTTGCGTCGGAATGGCAAGAGGGCGGCATGCTGTCCCCTCTCCCTCCAGGGCCTTACTCGGAGCTCCTTGCTGGGCCACGACACGTGTGAGGGGCGTGTCGAAGTGGGTTTAGGTACCACATGTGCCCTAGCCCCCCCCCCCCCTGGGGCCTTAGGCTGGAGCTCCCCGAGGGGCTACGCGGAGCGTGCGAGAAGTGTGCCAACATGAGCATGCGGAGGGCAGAGGCAGGGCCGGGAGGCAGGAGGAAGGAGATCCGTGGGTGGGTAAAATGAATTGACGCAAAAATACTGTCTTCCCAAAGCGAAGAACCAACACCACAGGATGGTGGGGACAAGTCTACAGCTGCACATATGTCAAGGTCAGAGGTTCCATTTTGCTTTTGTGCATCCAAGCAGGCTTAGCTGCTCCAGGTGGGGCTGCCGCTGCCCCGCTGGCCTCATTTCAGGATCTGTGATGTGTTCCCGTCGTTCAGGACGGCGCGCTCGTCCCGGCGCGGGCCACTCATCCTGATTCCAACTCTTCCTCGTCGCTAACGCCCCCCTTGTTTACCCTCCTCCGCCTTCCCCTGGTCATCCTGCTCCTCCCGTTCCTCCTGCACCTGCTGCAATTCTTCCTTCGAATTCTCCTCCTCCTCCTCCTCCTCCTCCTTCCTCAACCTCTTTCTCCTCTTCCTCCTGCTCATCATCCTGCTCACAGGCCGCGTTCTCGACCTCCTCCACTGTGCACAGCTCCCCTTTGTGCCTGCCCCTGACACGAATGGGTCATGTGGGAGCTTTCAGGTCCGCTACGACGCCCGTCGGCGCACAGACAAGAGGCGCTGCATTGGGAAGGAATGGGTTGGATGATGCGTAAGATGTGGCGCAAGCGCACCTCGCTTGTTCTCCCCCCTTCCCCTTTCTTTGAGTCCCTCTCCCCCTCCCCCTCCTCCAAGGTGTCGCTTGCCTTACGTCGGGCATGAACCTCTACAGGGGGAATCTTCACACATTGTCAACAAATAGTCTGGAAACGACTCCTCGATTATTCCCCAATCAGTGCTTGCACTGAAGGGGTGCTAGCGGAAGTTGAAACATTTGGCGAAAGTTTCCCGCCGATTTTGGTAGCAGGTTGGGTTCCCGGGTTCCAGGTTCCGGGTTCCCGGGTTCCCAGTGATTGATTCCGGGCCGATGTCGGTGGGTTCTGTGTTCCCGGGCTTCCGGGTTCTTTGTCGATCTCCCCAGGGAAAACCATCCATTGATTGTTGCTTCTCTTTGGTGTAATGTGCTTTACCTATGGTTGATCCGCTGCCTGTCTGTGCGAAGACATGTTCCCAGGTTCTTCTTCACACGTCGGTACCGGTTAACCGACCCCCATCCCCATCCCCATCTCCATCCCCTTCGAGACCCCCAACAAATTTCCACCCCAGTTGGGGATACACCCCGGGAATCCCGAAGATAACGACCTATCTCCCCATCTAGGGGGGTAAATCGGCCAGTGGGGCCCAGGCCACGCCGCTGGGGATGGGTATCGGCTAAACGATACTCATCACGTGCCAGAAGGTTGATAATTTCCGTGGAAGCCCCTGCCAAGGAACACTCTGCTTGCCTCCAGGGTGCCCTGGGTTTCTTGGGTTCCGATGGTTTTGCTCTGGAACCGCTCCCACACCAAGACTCAATGGTCGTCCTGGGGTCTTAGGGTTGGATCTCTTTTGGAAGGTCTCTTGTGGTCGAGCTCCTACTGTATGGGCGGCCCCATCGCATTCGCACGCCTCGTTCCGGCCAGAGTTTCCGGCAGACGGCCAGACGCGCCCCTGCGGCTGTTGGTCAGCATTGGCCCGATGCAGCGTCATTGTCACGGGGTCGTCCGCGCGGTTGCCCGCCGCAGGCCACGCCGAAGTCCACGCGTAGGTGCCATGGTTTCCAATGTAGCGTTCCGCACTGGCGGCCCGTGTAAGCCACCTCGTGCGGTCGCTACGTTACCTCACGCGGGACCCGTTTCTGTTCGTCGCTCAGGTGTCGTTCATCCAGAAGCTCTCGACAGGCGCGGACCTGGCCCACTTCGAGGCGGATTGGGCGCTGCCGCTAAGCTCTCACCGACCTCTCCCTGGGCTCCTCATTATTCTTCCTCCTCGTCCGTATCCTCCTCCTCTTCTTCTCCAACCTATGTTATGGACGTCGCATTCTCGCCTCATGGAAGAGGGAGAGAGGAGAAGGGAGGAGGATGGGGTCCGTCGCCTGCATGGACGTGTCATTATCGTCGTCGTCATCATCATCGCCATCATCATCATCATCATCATCATCATCATCATCATCATCATCATCAACACCATTATCATCATCATCATCATCATCACTATCACCATCACCATCACCATCATCATCACCATTACCATCACCATCATCATCATCATCATCATCATCATCATCACCATCATCATCATCAACAACAACGGCAACAACAGCATCATCAGCAGCAGCATCATCATCATCATTGTCGTCATCATCGTCATCATCAGCATCGTCATGGTCATCGTCGTTATCATCAGCAGCATCACCAGCAGCACCATCATCGGCATCGAACTATACATCGTCACCACATGCTTATCATCATCAGCAGTTGCAGACCTGCGATTCTCTTAATTAGCAGCAGCAGCATCCTACTCATCGTGACCGCTGTCATCACCAACAACAGCATCATCATCAGCATCATCATGATCACCATCGTCGTCATCATCATCATCATCATCATCATCATCGTCACCCCCTACCACCTCGCGCCGTGAAACACTCACGACGGAAGCTTCTCAGCTGAGCAGGTGCGAAAACGAAAGCTGCTTCCAGGGGCCCCGCTGGGCCCGATCGCGGTCGGCAGACGGCCCGGGGACGGTCCGCGGAAGGCGTCCAGATTTCTTTTGGCCCACGCGAGCACGTCATCGTGACGTCGGAGGTCTGGGTCCTCCTCTCTGCCTCGCCTCTCCTGTCCTCTCTCTCCCCTCCCCCTCCTCCCCCATTCCCCCCTCTTCTCGCCCCCACTCACCGTGCCCCCCCTGGCCTTCGTCCTCTCCCCCTCCTTGCTTGCCCCTCTCTTCCCCCTCCTGCCCATCCTTGTCCCCCCTCTCTTTGTCCCTCTCTCGCCCCCCCCCCCCCCCCCTATATATATATATATATATATAATATATATATATATATAGCCCTCAGCACGCACCACGACCCCCCCCTTTTCTCCAGATTATATATGGAATCATACATGATCCCCACGATTTTCGGACTTCACTTTGAGGCTCATTCTTCGCAGCCTTTTTGTGCTCAAGGTCGGAGCGATGTTCACCCCTTGCCAGTGCAGCCGCCGCGCTGCCTCCGCGCTCTGCTGCCGCCGCTCTCTGGGAGGAGCCTGAGGAGGAGGAGCTGAGCAAGCCCGAGATGCATCACCGATGCAGCGATAAGCGCGTGCGTGCCAAGCCCCATTCTCACTACGGGCCCTCCGTCCCCAACACACCATCCAGTACTCCACACCCTCCGTCTCCAACACACCACCCGATACTCCACAGGCTCCCTCCCCTAGCCGAACTTGAAAATATCCTTCTACTCCACACCCTCCGTCTCCAACACACCACCCGATATTCAACAGGCTCCTTCCCCAAGCTGAACTTGAAAATAACCTTCTACTCAACTCCCTCCGTCTCCTACACACCATCCAGTACTCAACACCCTCCGTCCCCAACGTTCCACCCGATACTCAACAGGCTCCCTCCCCAAGCTGAATTTGAAAATATTATTCGACTCAACTCCCTCCGTCTCCAACACACCACCCGATACTCAACAGGCTCCTTCACCAAGCTGAACTTGAAAATAACCTTCTACTTAACTCCCTCCGTCTCCAACACACCATCCGGTACTCCACACCCTCCGTCCCCAACGCACCACCCGATTTTCAACAGGCTCCGTCCCCAAGCTGAACTTGAAAATAACCTTCTACTCAACTCCCTCCGTCTCCAACACACCATCCGGTACTCCACACCCTCCGTCCCCAACGCTCCACCCGATACTCAACAGGCTCCCTCCCCAAGCTGAACTTGAAAATACCCTTGTACTCCACTCCCTCCGTCTCCAACATACCATCCAGTACTCAACACCCTCCGTCTCCAACACACCACCAGATACTCCACAGGCTCCCTCCCCAAGCTGAACTTGAAAATACCCTTGTACTCCAGTCCCCCGTCTCCTACACACCATCCGGTACTCCACACCCTCCGTCCCCATTACACCTCCCGATACTCAACAGGCTCCCTCCCCAAGCTGAACTTGAAAATACCCTTGTACTCCACTCTCGCCGTCTCCTACACACCATCCGGTACTCCACACCCTCCGTCCCCAACACTTCACCCGATACTCCGCACCTGCCTTCTCCATCACACAACCAACCTTTCTGCCACACTTCCTCTTTTACGGTTGCAGCGCGCGACCCGACGGGGACGAGGGGAGGAGTGGGGGGAGGACTGTGCGAGTGGCCCCCCCGTCGTCCCTCGGCGGCGCCGACGGGGACGAGGGGAGGAGTGGGGGGAGGACTGTGCGAGTGGCCCCCCCGTCTTCCCTCCGCGAGGCCGACGGGGACGAGGGGAGGAACGAGGGGGGGACCGGGCGGTCGGAGGGCCGCGCCGACTGCGCAGTCCTCCCTCGGTCCCTCCGTCCTCCTAACCCGTCTCCAGGAGGGGGGCTTGTGCTGAGGACTGGGGTCGAGGGGGAGGAGTGGTGGAATGGAGAAAGGGCTGGGAGGGGAAGGGGGACTGGGAGGGGACAGAACTCGTTGCCAAGTGGGTCCGCCAGTCCAAGCCCCCATCTGTCCACCCCTTCTTCTTTCCTCGATGGCAGAGAGGGGGGATCGGAGGATCGGAGGGAAGTGGGATGGAGAAGAGGGAGGGGCGAGGATGGATGATGGACGGGGGAGGGGGTTTGCGTTGCGGGTGGACGATGCTGGGTAGAGATTATGGGTGGACGACGTAGGGTGCAACGTGCTGGAGTGTTTTAAGGTTGAGGTGCAAAAGTGGATGTGGAGGGATGGAAAGACCGGAGGGTCAGACTATGAGTAAGGGAGAGGGCAAATGCAACGAAAGCAACGACGGATCATTTGTCTTCATCTACTACAAATCCATAACATTCGTATGTTCTCTTCATATATCATCATCACCTTCGTCGTTGTCATCGTGCTCATCATCGTCCTTCCCGCCCCTTGCCTCCGCGTTCCCCTCATCCTCTTCATCCCCCTCATCGTTCTCTCCCTGCCGTTCCTCCTCCTCCTCCTCCTCCTGATTCATCTCCTCCTCCACATCCTTCGCATCCTGGAGAAGTGGAAGGGGGAGGGAGTAGAGGCAGAGCAGTGGGAGTGATGCGAGGGCCTCCCGGAGGCGGTTCGCTACGTTCGCGACCTCGCCCGCAAGCAGAACTCCAAGGCGTTGGCATCGTCGTCTTCTTCACCCCCCCGTCTCCTCCCCTGCGTTTCGTGTTACGAGTGTTGATGTCATCTGATGTGTTTGGTCGCTGCTGCTGTTTAAGTCGCGGCGCTTGAGGCCTCCGGCGACATCTGGAGACTGTTGGATATCTCCCGAGACTTTTACCCATCATGTTTGTTTCCTTTGTTTGCCGCCTCTTGATACGCCTCTTTTTCCTGTTCTCCCCGAGTTGTTAACCCCTCCACTTCCTCATCCACCCCCCTTCTCCGTAGCGCCCTGCATTCCTTCAAACCCGCTTCTACTATGCGATTCGTCCTCCTCTTCCATCTGCCACCGTCCAGTTCCATATCATCCTTCAACCTCCATAGCGTTCAGGTCCCTCCCCTTCTATATCCAGCTCTCATCATCGTGCTCTGTGTCCGCCCTGTGATCTTCACAAATCTCCTCAACCCTGTGTCCGCCCCCATCCCCCGGCCACCCCCCACTCCTCCCCCCCCTGTCTCCCCCTCTCGACCTCGACCTGCCCTCCTCGTCCCTCTCCCCCCGTCTGGTACTCCTCCTCCCCCGTCCCCTCCTCAGGAGGGAAGCACCACCGACACAATGAATCGCCGATACCCAGGAGAAGATCGTAAAATGTGGGAAGTGGGGGTGGTAGTCGAACGCCAAGAACATGTCATATACGTGTGGGGAAACCTAGGATGTGTGTCTAGTTACTTGTGTGTGTGTGTTCCTGGGCCCCTCTACCTCTCATCTTCCTCCTGCCTCGCCCTCGCCGCCGGTCGCGCCCCGCTCCACGCCGCGAGGCTCTCGCGCAGCTCGCATCGCGCATGGCCTCCGCGATGCGCATGAGCTCGGGCAACGGGGAGGACCCGACTGCGCGGGCCATACAGACGCTCGAGGCCTCCTGGGTGCGGTCGGAGCAGATGGGGTCGGGGGATCGCGCCGCATCGCCGATGCATCGGCGATGCGGCGCGATGCGGAGCCCCATGGGCTTCCACGTCGACGTCCCCGCGGCATCGGCGATGGGGCGCGATCCTCCGACCCCATCCGCTCGGACCTCATCTAGGAGGCCTCTGAACACCCGAGAGGGGGGAATATTCCCAGGTCGTGGTGCGACTCAGTGGTCGGTCTCGCGCTCCTCCTCTCCGACCCCTCGTGGAAAAAAAAACACGAGGGACGGACGGGGGGGAGGAGAATGGGGAGAAGAAGGGGAATAGGAATGAGGAAGGAGGAAAGAGCAGGTAGGGGAGTTGGAACATGTGGAATGTAGGACGAGGCTCCTCCTCCTCCTCCTCCTCCTCCTCCTCCTCCTCCTCCTCCTGTGATGGGGGGTGCGGAGAGGAGGAGGGAGAGTGCAGGGGAGGATCTCAGAACTCCAGCGTCGCGACGTTTGCTAGCAGCGTGGGCCCCTGGAGGTCTGGACCCCTCTTCCCGGGACTGGCTTTCCGTTCAGAGCCGTGTGTCTTCCACGGCCCAGGGGCCCGGTGAAAGGGGGAGGCGCCCCGGAGGAGGGAGGGGACGCCTCCGAGGAGGGAGGGGGGAAGGGGGGCGGGGAGCCGGAACGGAAACTGGCTACATGACAACGTCATACAGCGAAGACCCATGCCAAGAAACACCCTATTGTAGTGGCCTTCGGCCAGTGCCGCCGATCCGGGGCGCTCCGACTGATGTGATCCTTCTTCGCCCTCGTCCCTCCTCTCTTTTTCCCTCCCCTCCTCTCACTCAGCATTTATCCAGTGGCCGTCGGCCTATCCCGCCACCGTGCGTGGGTGGTGGGTCAGAGGCCTCATGGATGCTGGTTGGGATCTCGTGGTTGGCTGGGACTTCTGGGGGCCTCTTGGGCGCCTCTTGGGGCTTCTTGGGGGCCTCTTGGGCCTCTTGGGGCCACTAGAGGGCCTCTTGGGGGTCTCTTGGGAGCCTTTTGGGGCTTCTTGGGGGCCTCTTCTGCGCCCCTTGGGGCCTCTTGGAGGTCTCCTCGGAGCCTCTTGGTGCGGGAGGGGTGGTACTCGAGTTCGGAACCCCCTCGGAGGCCACGATCCTTGTGAGGGGTGTCAAAAAACGCATCCGCCGGAAACTCGCACCCCCCCCCCCTTCCCCGGCAGAGCCAGAGCCACCCCGGCAACCCCCCCAGAGGCTGAGGCTCAGCCAATAGGCTGTAGCTGAGACTCCTTGAAACTCACACGCCGGATCGGCGGACTTGCCTCCAGGGTGCCCTGGGTGTCTCGGGTTTCGATTTGCCATGAGAAGCGTGACGTCCCCACGCCAAGAACCAATGGACGTCCTGGGGTCTCGGGGTTGGGTTTCTAGCGGAAGGTTTCTTGTGGACTGGCCTCCGCTGTATTGACAGCAATTTTGTAGGACACGAGTGCCCGGCCAACAGTGAAAACACGACCCTGCAGCCGCTCGTGGGCGAGCGACGCGCGCGCCTGCCACTGCCACCGCCCTGTGCGATTCCATTTTTGGGTGCGTTTCCTGCACGGCGTCGCTTCTCGGGGTGACTATTCTGGAAGTGGATGTTCTGCCCCCTACTGTTGTTGGACAGGAGTGCCTGGCCAGCAGTGAACGCGACCACGACCCTCTGCAGGCGCTCTTGGGCGAGCGCGGCGCGCGCGCGCGTGCCAACGCCACAACAACCCCCCGTGCGGTTGCCAATGTGCCCAGGATCTCGGCCGCCAGTGTGCCCCACTCAGTTGGGCTCCCTCGGACCGAGTGACGGCGAAGGAGGGGCTCGGGCGGGTGGTAGTGCTAAGTCGGGCACGTCCCTCTACAGGAGGAATATTCCAACAAAATCAATCAAACATGTCAGGGGACGATTTCTGTTGGACTGTTTTCTGTCATGTTTGAGTATGGTTTGACAGTGTTTCATGTTTCTCCCACACTCCGCGACCTAAACCTAAATGGTGGTGAAGGAAAGGCTCGTGAAGTCGAAGGAGGAGCTCGGGCGAGTGGTAAGTAGGGGGTGGCCGAAGTGAAGTGTCAGATGAGGAAAAGGTACCCAACACGCCGCTATCCTTCCCTCGTTTTTTTTCCTTTTTGGGGGCCTCGTGAGCGGCCCTCGTCGCCAGGGCTGGATTCGCCTCGAAGTCCTGGTCAGGCGCACCCCGGGGACAGGCCTGGGGAGCAGCGGTATCGGTACCTGTTGGTTTCCCCGAGGGGGGGGGTGACCCGAAGGGGGGGGTGAAGAGAAGAGCCCCCGAAGGGGCCCTTCAGGGCCCCTTCTGGAGCCCACGGGCGCCCAACAGGGTCCCCAGATGGCCCCTCTGGGGGCCTTTCTCTTCGGCCCCTACTGAGGCCACCGCCCCCCATCACCGCCCGCCCGAAGAGCATGGAAGCCAAGGGGGAAGAGAGGGGGAGTAGGGATTAGCGCGCTCTGTCTTGAGGCATGCACGAGGCCGACAGGGCGAAGGAGAAGGGGGGGGGTTCGCTGCAGGTTCGTGGCGGGCTGAAGAAGAAGAAGGGGGAACGGCGCCCCCATGTGAGGAAAATGTCGGAAGGGCGTGCGACTGGGGCAAGGTGCCCATGCGAATTGGTTATTCGCTGCGATTCGGGCGGGGTGGCTTGAAAGCGCTTTGACATGCGCCCGCATATGCACCTGACGCTGAAGTTCCCAGATGTTGAAGCGGGCGACCCTGCAGGCTCGGTGAACAACACACCATTGAGCGGTGTTGCCACCCTCCCAGAGCGACAGCATGACACATCGCAATGGTTCCCCCCCTTCCTCTGCTGAGTTCCAGGCTCGGTGTCCATTGAATTGGGTGGGGCAACAATAGCAACAGCATGGCAGGGGGCACTACCAAGGGGGGGTGGGAGGCTAGGGAAGAAGAAGAAGTGGGGAGGGCGCCCGCTAAGACCATGCGTGCGTGTGTGTGTGTGTGTACGTATTTGAACATGTGTGTGGTGCCGCGTTCCCCGCGATAGTGTTTCACACCGCCGGAGGACTAAACGTGCATGCTGCATGTGCGTGTGGTTGGGTGAGTGGGTGGTGGCAAGAAGGGGCCAATGAAACCAGGACGTCTCGACGGCTTGTTTGATTCAATTGATGGGGCATCTCGACCGCCCGTTTGCGACACCCGCGGCCCGTTGTTGTTCCACATTTCCCCCGCATGCCCACTTTGCGACGCAGTTGGGTCACCTCGACGGCCCGTTGTTGTTCCACCTTTCCCCCGCAAGGACCCCTTTGCGAAGGTGAAAGGACTCATTCAGGACATGATCGAGAAGTTGGAATCCGAGGATGTATCGACAGTTTCTTTCCTCCCACGCCCTCCTCACTCGTGCCCTTTTCCTTCCTACCTCCTTCACCTGCCCCCTTATCCATTGCCCGTCTCCCCCATCCATCCTTACCCTGCCTCCTCTGGTCTTTTCTCCTCCACGCCACGTCCTCGTCATTCTTCCCAGCACCCGGTTGCCTTTTGCCCCCTCTCTTCCTCCCTCTTATTTCCTTTTCCTCCCTCTCCCTCGTTTGTCATCCGCCCTTTCCTTTCTTGTTGTTCCTGCCACCTCCGCCCTCCGCATTCCTTCTTTTGTTGTTCGTTCCACTTTGCCCCGTGTACTCGTTCCTTCCTTTGTTTTTTCCCTCCGCATCCCCCTCCTGACCTCGTTCGTTCCGCTTCGCCTTCGTCTTGCCACCTCCCTTATACGTACATACTTCCCTCCTTGTCGCCCCCTCTCCCCATGGTCCGATCGAGATATAAGATCGAGGTCGGCTCGGGGAGGGTACCCTTGTGTTCTTGTTCATGTCTGTCGTGCAATATTATGCATCCTGGGGGAGGGTAACCTCGAGTGACCTTGTGGTTAGTTTGGGGTATCTTGGTTGGCAGATGTTCTCATGTTCTTGGATGATGTTCGTTTGTCTTGGGTCTGGCCGTAATGCGCCGCCGCTTCCACCTCATCCCTTCTTCATTTTGCTCTCTCCTCCCTCGTCCCCGCCTCCTCCGCCGCCTTCTTCCCCATGGCCACCCGGGGCTTTGTGCGTCGGAACGCAATCGCCCGCCGATCGGCCTCAGCTCCCGCGGCCCGGGATGGAGCCCGTTCGGCTGCTGATTCGGCGGCCGAACGGGCTCAGACGCCGAAAGGGCTGACACGCGGCGGCAAGCGAACGGAACCTCCCAGCCCTTGCGCCCTCTGAGAAGGTTTCTGTGTCTTCGGGCACGGCCTAGAAATTTTCTCCGAACACAGCCTGGGCACTTCCGCGTCCTCCCTGCTCGCTTCTCCTCCCCCCCCCCCGCGCTCGCCGCCAGGAGTTGGGAACCCCGGGCCAAGCAAGGCCAAAGCCGCCCCACAAAGTTTCGGCTCTTGGCTCCCAGACCAGTCCCGCGGAGGAGGAAGGAGCAGAAGGAGGAGGGGGAGGAGGAGGAGGAGGAGGGAGAGGAGGAGGGAGCAGAAGGAGGAGGAAGGAGCAGAAGGAGGAGTCCTCCCCTCCGAAGTCCTGCTCCCCCTCTTCAAGGTCAAAGTCGCCCCACAAAGTCTCGCGGCCTGGCCGGGGAGCTTGGATCCGAATCCACAAGTGGCAAACGATACCCAAAGGTGGGACGGAGTGGGCCTATGGGTGCGTGTTGTCGGAGGGGGGTCCCTGCTCGTACGGGGGCGCCCCCAAGGGTCCGACAACCGGCACCCATACCCATAGCCCGTCCTCCCTCCAACGTCCCCCCTATGGGTATGGGTGTGTGTTGTACGTTCGTCAATCACATCGGTTCCCACGACGCCAAGATGCCCTGGCCTGAGATCCTGGCGCTGCTGTCTTTTCACGCTGGGCGAGTGTGCGCGTTCCGGGTCCCGGAACTACCACAGATCGATCCTGCCCGATGAGTGCTGCAGATAGATATGGGTCCAGGGCTCTGGTCGTGATTTGTCGCGGTGTTCCATTTGTGTTCTGGGCTCCTCCATCCTTCCTTGCCTTCCCTCCCTCCTCCCCTCCCTGTTTCCTCCTTGCCTCTCTCCTCCCTTCTCCCCCTTGGCGGCACCGAGGCCGGCGCCGACGCTAAGCACAAGGCTTACTGCGACAAGGAGATCGCGTACGCGGACGAGAAGAAGGCCAGGACGGGATGAGGAGAGAGGGGGGGGTCAGGGGCAGAGATGGGGGGAAAGACTCAAGAGGGAATGCATCGATCCCCAATCGCCAATTCATCACCGATAAGGGTCTGACAGCCCGAACCTGCCCAGGAACGTTCGGGTTTGCGATCGAGGGCCAAGCGCCAATTGTATCGGCGAGGTATCGCTGTTTCCAGGTCGATGTCTCTCAGGAGGGAAAAAAAACACACAGACACAATTAATCGTCGATTCCCCATAAAATGTGGGAAAATATGGGAGTTGGGTGGGAAGACGAAAACCCAGAAAATATAAGAAAATATGGGGAGTCCTTCGATATGCGTGTATTTATTTGTGTGTCCTTGGGCCCCTTGAGTCTCCCCCCCGTGCCAGCCACCCCCCCGATCGTTGCCCCCTCAATGGGGGAGGGGAGGGGCCCACGGCCAGAGGAAAGAGGAGGAGGAGGAGGAGGAGGAGGAGAAGGAGGCAGAGGAGCAGCAGTGGAAGCTCCTCCTCCGCCTCCTCGCTCTCTCTCTGTCCTGGTCTCTCCCCGCTCCTGCCCTCCCCCTGCTCCTGTTTCTCTGTTTTCTCCTTCTCCTCCATCTCCGCAGTTAAACACCTTATGAATACTACTTGCCCACCTCCCTTGACGTTCTTCGGGAATATCTCCCGCCACCTCCGCGCGCTGTGCTTCCACATTGCTCCCGTCGTTCAGAATGGCGCTCTAGACCCAGCGCGGGCCACTTCTCTGGATCCGAGTCCTGCTTCAGCGTGGTCCCCCCCCTCAACTCTCCTCCTCCGCCGGGCCCTGGCCCTCCCGTTCTCCCCGCTCCTTCCGCTCGGGTTCTCGCTGCTGCTGCTGCAGCTCGTCTCGCCCAAGCGCGGGCCACCTTTCGGAATCCGAGTTCCGATTCGTCGGTGCCGCCCCACTCGTTTCCCCCCCTCCGCCTTCCCCCGTTCGTCGTGGCCCTCCCGATCTCTGCGTTGTGGGTTCTGCTCTCGTTGTTTGTCCCCATCGTTTTCTTTCCGCTCGTCCTCTTGCTCACCCGCCACCTGCTCCTGTTCACGCAGCACCCTTTCCCTCCGATTGCGCACAACCCAGAGCTATACTTCTGTGTGAGTCGCAGGTCTGCCATAACACGCGTCCGCGGATAGAGAAACATCAGCGCCATAGGAAGGGATGGGAGGGAGGGACAGGGCGTCAGATATGGCGCGAGCGCACCTAGCGATCTCTCCGCCCTCTCTCTTCCTCCGCCCTGCTCCTCCTCCTCCTCCTCTGCGCTCCTTTCTCACCTCCAGGCCATCCTCTATCCCATCTTCATTATATTATACTTCTCATCTTTCTCCTCTTTCTCCCCCCCGCGACGATGTCTCTTCATCATCTTCCAACACGGGGGTGTGGGGCGAGGAGGAGGGGAACTTGTTCAAGACAGCGAGTGGTGCCCTTGAGGAAAAAGGGAATGAGCAAGTTGACGAGGAGGAGCAATAGGAGGAGCAGGAGGGGGCGACGAGAGAGGATGATTAGGATAAGGATGGGGAACGCGGATGCGAGCGGCGTTTAGGATGCGATATGATGTGGTGGGGGAAGGAAGCGGAGAGAGCATTTGGAGTCGGGAGCAGCAGGTAGTCGGCGGCAAGCTCCGAGGTCAAGGGGGTCGCCCTCGTGCCTCCTCGAAGAAGCATACGCTGCACAGACAGCCTCTCTGAGCTCTCCGCGCCGATGTCGTGGATCTGCGGCGGAATCCCTTGGCGGCGCCTGCGGCGGCTCCCTTGGCGAACCTCGCGCACCGATCCAAGAGATCCGCGTGAACCTCTGAGCGTTTATGTTCATGCGTTTTTGTCTTTGTCTAGTCGTTGTGCCGATCGGCGCGGGCCCCTCGCCCCCCCCCCCCCCTCCCTCCCCCCCATGGATCAGATCTTGGCTGCTTTGGGCGCCTGTTTCAGGCAGGTGGAATGTCTCCCATAGGACGCACTGTTGCAAACAGTCGCATTAAGCAGGGGTCCGGGGCCAGGGCCCCCCCCCCTCGCCCCCATTCCGCCTAGTGTCAAAACGCCGAATGAGAAAACGTTCACCTCGTCATTTCTCGCAGTTGTTCAACACGCCTCGCAAGTCGGAAGCTGTAGGATCCATGCGGACCCTCCTCTTCCTCCTCCTCCTCCTCCTCCTCTTCCTCCTCCTCCTCCACCTGCTCCTCTCCTCCTCCTCCTCCTCTCCTCCTCCTCCTCCTCCTCCTCCTCCTCCTCCTCCTCCTCCTCCTCCTCCCCCTCCTCGCTTCCGGAGGCTCAGCAGAAGTTGCACCTGCCGCTGCCCCGCACGCCACCGACCGCCGCGCGTTTTGTGGAGCCCTGGCGCCCGCCGCTCGGCGACGGCCGTGCCTGGATTGCAGGCAAGAGTACGGTAGGTTCGTGTCGTGTTGACCGGCGGCGACCCCGTTAGCGGCGTTCAACGTTGATCGCCGCGGGCGACCCAGAATCGTTCGATGTGGAAAGATTTGCACGGTTCGGAAACGGCCGATCGCTCAAGGCTAACGACCCCCGCGGTATCAGAAACCAACGCCGAAGTCAGCGCGACGCGAACTTGCCGCATCCATGTCCACAGGCGTCTCGCTCCATAAGCCGAGATGCAGTGGATGTGGATAAACATCTAGCCTCCAGAGAGGCTTGATTGAATCCATACCCGCTGCTGCCAAGGGTTCTGGCCCCCCCCTCCCAAAATATCCGAGACGCCGTGTATATGGATAGAAGATCTAAATATTGGAAAGAGCGTGTTCTACCGCTGCTGGCGGAAAACCGGGGGGGTCACTACTGGTTCGAACCCCCCCCTCCGGAAAACCGGGGGGGGTCACTATGGTTCGAGCCCTTCCCCCCCCACCCCCAGTCCATCATGAAAAGGGTGGGGTGGGGGGTCGAACCGGTAGTGACCCCCCCCCCGTTTTCGAGGGGGAGGGGGGGGGTTCGAACCGGTAGTACCCCCCCCCCGGTTTTTTGGAGGGGAGGGGGGGGTTCGAGCCGGTAGTGACCCCCCCGGTTTTCGAGGGGGAGGGGGGGGCGGGGGGGGGTTCGAACCGGTAGTGACCCCCCGCGGTTTTCTGAGGGGGGGGTTCGAACCGGTAGTGACTTTCCTCTGGTTTTTTGGGGGGGTCTGGTGGGGGTGGGAGGGGTTCGAACCGGTAGTGACCCCCCGCCTGTTTTCTAGGGGGGGGGGGTTCGAACCGGTAGTGACCCCCCCCCCCAGTTTCCTAGAGGGGATGGGGGGTGGCGGTTAGGGGAGGGGGGGGGTTGCCGGGGGAAGGGGTGGGGAGGGGGGTTCCAGCAAGGGGGGGGATTTTCAGAGGGGGGGGACCCCGAGGGGGGGGATTTTTCCACAGTATAGCGGCGGTGGATCACGCTCACTCAAATATTGCCTTCGCGAGTTCTTGAAATTCTGGGTGGAACCCCTGACACCACTTCCTGATAAGGTGTATTGCCGTCGTCAAGGGGATGCGAAAGCAACAAAACCGTTGTCTCCGTTCCTCTTGATCGCCCCCCTATGGAGGAGGAGGAGGAGGAGGAGGAGGAGGAGGAGGAGGAGGACGACAATGACGACGATGAGCACTGAGCAGACGAGGCCAACCGCGTCTCGGAGATCGAGAAGCTCACGACCAGCATCGACCAGATGTCCGCGAGGTCTGCTCAGCTCAAGGAGGAGATCGCGGCGCTGGAGAAAGGCGGCGTCGGCCAGAGGAGGAAACCAGGACGGACGAGGTTGAGCAGAACGTGTGAGGGGATGTGGAGAGAGGATTCGGCAGCGATGACGGGGGTCATGAGAAAGAGGGAGCAGGGGCGAGGCGGCCGAGGGACAGAGGATGAGGGAGCGTGGTGGAGGAGGAGGAGGAGGAGGAAGAGGAGGAGGAGGAGGGTGGGGTTCAGGAATTGTGGAGGCGAGGGAACGGTGGGGGAGGAGGAGGGGGAGGAGGAGGAGGCTGAAGGAGGAGGGGCGAGGAGCACGAGGGAGGAGGAGCAGAAAGATTGGAGGACCCTTTCCTCTGAAGCTGCACCTCGTTCGTGACGCCGACCCCTCGGGATCTCGACCGCTTCCCCAAGCCCCCGCGCCTTCCGAGAGGTTTTTTTTCTGTCTTCGGGGAAGGCTTGGGAAACTCCTCAGGAGGCCGGGGGACTTCCGAGCCTTCTGAGGAGGCCTTCTCCCTCTCACTTCCCCCCCTCGCTCGCCGCCGAAGATAGGGGGTGAAGCAGAGGACCCCTAAAGGGGGCCTCTGGGGGGCTGGCTTTCTCCTGCTGCCAGAGGCGGGCGCGCCCTCGCCCGGAGGGCAGCAGGAAGACGATCCGCGCGCGCGTGCGGACGCGGGCAGACTCTGCGCTCGCTGCGCTCGCCGACCCCGCCGACGCTGCAGCGTCGGGTGGCGAGGCGGAGGAGAAGGGAGTGAGGAGCGAGAAGGGGGGAAGGAGGAAGGAGGAGGAGGGGGAGGAGGAGGGGGAGGAGGGGCAGGAGGAGGAGGAGAAGGAGGAGGAGGAGGGTCTGCTACGTTTTTGGGGAACCAGCAGCTGCAGTCAGGATGTCGGGTAGGACATGCCGGTATCCGCGGCCTCGCGGGCTGGGCGTTTTGCTCGCGGATGCCCTTAGCCGCGCGACCGCTTATCCGCTGGATCGCGCTCCGGAATCCAGACCGCGAGGGCTCGGACGCGGATGTGTTCACCGCTCGTGAGAGGGGGCGGAGGAGGAAGCTGGCCGAGGAGAGTATCGCCCGCCCCGGGGAGAGGCCTTGCCAACGTGGCCACGTCCCAGGCCGCGATGGACAAGCTCCGGTCGGAAGAGCACGCGCAGTTCCTGGCAAACAAGGCGGACATGGAGCAGGTCCTATCCCTGTCTCCCCGATGCTCAGAGGAGGAACAGGTAACTTAGAAGGGTCTTTAATGCTAAGCTCTCGGCTTGCAATTACAGTCCACCCGCATAGCAAGGATTAGCAATGTTCCCAGGTTATCTTTGCATCTGAGCATTGGCCGCTTTCGCTGGCCGCACCCCGCTCGAAAAGTGTCGACATGGCATTCCAAGGCCCTTGCATCCTTATCCGGCGTCCTGATTGTACGGGTTGACTGTAGATTCGTCCTTGCCTTCCTCGTCGTTCCCCTTACCATCACCATCACCATCATCATCACCATCAGGGATCCTCGAACCGCCCCCCCCGATCAGCTGCGTTGGCCGCCGCGGGGGGATATTTTTCACAAGTATTGTTCGGGGTCTCAATCCGTCAATAAGACCACTCAACACATAATGAGTGTTACATTATTTGTTTTGCTTACAGATCCACTGAGTTTACCCATGCCGCTACCCTTCCTTCGTCTTCGCCTTGATCGGCCTCCTGGGATCTTCTCGTCGCACCGTCGCCACGGCTGGATTCGCCTCGACATATTTGTAAGAGCGCACCCAGGGGAAGCCCGGGGAGTAGCGGCATGGGTACCTTTGGTTTCCCCAGGTCTTCCCCGTTGTGTTTTTTCTCTCTCTGCCGGGGATCTATGTCATCCTTCCTCGCGGCCCGCCTCTTCCTTGTCTGACGCCTGTATGGGCGGAATTTGCACCCGCGCGCCCGCCGACATCACGTGCCCGTACGGAGTGTGTCCGCACCCGCTGTATAGTACGTATCAATCTCCACGTGGATTTGCCGTAGCTTTTGGGGTGTTGATGATTTGTTCCCTTCTCGGGTTGGGCGGGCGAATTCGCCACATCCGCTTCTGAAACCCTTGGAAGGTGGATGTGGTCAAGAACCGTTCCCTCATCTTGAGCCTTACAACGTTTCTTCCGACCACATCAGTGTCTAGGTACGAAGGGACGACGCTCCAGGGAGGAGCACCGACACCTGATTTGTCCATCATTCACGAGTGTCCAACATGTCAACATCGTCCAGGGTCAGTCGGGGAGAGAGAGAGAGAGATACATCTTTATGCAGTGTGAGAGAGAGTGTGTGTGTGAGAGAGAGAGAGAGAGAGATCCAGCTGCCTGCGGCCAGTCCCGCCACAATGCCAGCCCAGCTTTCTGGGTGTCGACTGTTCGAGGGGGCGCGGGAGGCTATCACGTGTGACGCCTCGTGTCTCCAGGTTTTGGGGGCCGTGATGATGAGAATGAGGATTATGATGATGTTGGGGATGACGATGGCGATGTTGACGATGATGCTGATGATTATGGTGATGTTGATGATGGTGATGCTGATGATGATACTGATGCTGATGATGATGGTGATGTGTGATGGTGATTGTGACGGTGATGGTGACGAGGATGGTGATGTTGTTGTGATGTTACCGGTGATGGTATGAGCGCTAAGTATGATGGCCATGATGGTACTATTGATAATACTACATAGTGATGGTGCTGATTATCATCATGTTGATGCTGCTGAATATAATGATGAATCTGACAATGATGATTGCGATGGTGATTGTGACGGTGATGTTGGCGTGGATGGTGATATTGTTGCGGTGATGCAGGTGACGTTATTAGAAATAAGTGTGGTGTTGCTAAAGATGATGATCAGCATCATGGTGTTGATTATGATACTAGGTATGGTGATGGTGATGGTGACGGTGATCATGCTGGTGATTCTGATTATGATGCTGATGATGCTAAGACATATGCTGAAGTTGATGATGACGATGATGGCAACGGCCATACTGTCGATGGTCCTGCCGTTGATGGTGAAGATGATTGTGATAATGCTGGTGATGCTGATGCTCATGCTGAGTATGATGCTGATGACGATGGCGATTCCAATTCTTATGACTATGCTGATACTGATGATGATGCTGCTGATGACGGTGATGATGATTCTGACGAGGATTATGTGGCGGTGGTGATGATGATGATGATGATGATGATGATGATGATGATGATGGTGACTATGCTGCTGCTGCTGATGATGATGATGATGATGATGATGACGACCAAGATGCAACTCGTTTGGGCCGTCTTGGTTTTGTCATGGCCTCCTGTGAGGCTGTCTCGGGGTTTCTTTGGGGCCCTCTTGCGCCGTCTTGGGGCCCTCTTACGCCAGCTTGCGGCTCTCTTGGGCCGTCTTTGGGTCCTCTTGGCCATACTGGTAGGTGCGTGGGGGCCGTCTTGGCGCCGTCGTTGGCTATCGAAGGGCCGTCTAAGGCCGACTGAGGTCCCACGGGAGGTCCTTCTGGGCCGTCTTTGATGCCGCTTGGGCCATCGTGGAGTCCTCGTTGGCCGTCTCGAGCTGGTAGCAGCCCGGAATGGCGAGAACGCGGCAATTATACAAATGCTCATGGGAAATCATTGAGTTTGGTTTCTTCTGATCTTGTTGGAGAGTCTCTTTTGGTCATGCGTGTCCATCTTGGAGGCATGTTGGACAGTCTTGAATCAATATTTGGCCGCCTTGGCGCCATCGTGGGTCGAGTTCGAGGCATCTTGAGCCATTTTGGTGTCCTGGGTTGTCTGCACGGGCTGAGTTGGAAGTTCCGGACGCATACTTATCGGTTTTAACTCGGGATGGTTGCTTGGGAGGCTCTAGCGTATGGCATCAACGCCAACACATGAGGGAAGTGCATGATCCTCGAGTGGGTACGCGTGGGATGGGGGGCCTAGGAGTTAGCAGTCATGCGGGAAGTGCACAATTCTTGAGCGGGCGCGCGTGAACTGGGGGTTCATGCATTAGCTGCCATGCGGGAAGTCCACCAATCTCGAGCGGGCACGCGTGGAATGGGGATTCAGGCATTAGCTGCCATGCGGGAAGTGCACCGTCCTCGAGCGGGCACGCGTGGAACGGGGGTTCAGGCGTTAGCTGCCATCTGGGAAGTCCACCTACGACCAGCGGGCACGAGGGAAGTGGCCTAGGTTAGGAGGCGATGCGTGCAAGAGTCCTTGGGTAGAGGGAGGAGATGCACGCAAGAGTCGTTGCACACCTTGGCATGCTTCCACGCCTCCCTGTACCAGGGGGCACAGTGGCGGGTTGGGAGACAGCTACCGCAAGAGGGGAAACATGCATTTTCCGTTCACGTCAGAGAAAGACAGACAGAGAGGACGATATTAAGAGACAAAGGGGGAAGAGAAAGCGAGAGAGAGAGAGATGGGGAGAAAGAGACAGACACACAAACACGAACACAGATACCTATAGAGAGCGAATCAGAGAGAGATGGAGAGGGGGAGAGAGAGAGAGAGAGAGAGAGCGCGAGGCGGCCCGCGCGGGGGAGCGGGACCAGCACGCCAGACAGCTCGGTGACCGACTCGCGCATTCTGCAGCGGAGTCGCCCTGGGCCTCTGGGCGGCGAGGCCCGGCAGCGGCGCGCGCGGCGAGCGGCGGGCATTCTTATCACCGAGCGCGCGCCGCTGTTCGCAGGGAGTGCCCGTTTCGCAAACGTCGGGAACAAACGAAACGTTGTCCTCCTGTGTTGGTGATGGGCCTGTCTTCCCCCACCACCACTACAAGTGGGAGGGGGAAGGAGGTGGAGGCCGACGGGGAGGAGGAGGAGGGGGAGGAAAACAGGCCCATCAATTGGGGAGCGTACATTCCCCCGCGGCGGATTGGGGCCCTTTGCGAGCAGCTGCTTTGCGAGCAGTGCAGCGCCCTTGTCGAAGTTGCCCAGCGACCGCCGAGCCGCGGAGCTCACCCGCGCCGTGCGCGGCCGGCACATTCGCCTCGTCCGGGCGGAGCTCGCCCTGCAGCGCAGGCGAGCCGTAGCGCAGGCGTCGTGCCGTTAGCCCCCACTTTTTAGGCTCGCCTGGCAGCTGCGCTGCCGCGCCTTCGTTCTGAACCTCCTCCTCCCCCTTTCGCTTGTTAAGTCGGGCATGTCCCTCTACAGGAGGAAGATCTAGAAGCAGTAGAAGCATAGTGTGGAGACGATGTTTCTACCATGGTTGACTCTTTTTTTGTATTGCCATTTTTCTTTCATTCAAAGTCGGCCTGTAGGGAGACATGCCCGACTTGACTCTTCCTGCCCCGTTCTTTGACTTAGGCGGGCGCGCGATCGCCTAAAGAGGGTTGTGGTGGCTCACGCCTCCCCGCCGCGCGCCCGTCCCTGCCGTTTTCTGGTTTCCTCTTGCCCTCTCCTCCTTCACTCAATTCCCCTATGTGTCCCACGGCCACTGCTTCTGGGTGCGTGTCCTGTTTCTGGTACCTGGGAGGACTGTCACCCCCACGTCCAGGTGTGTGGAAAACCGCGGATGGACATGTTCCAAAGTGATGCCCTTTTTCCTGGCCTCAGGCCGATTCGCCTGTTCCTGGTGGCTTCCACAACGAAAATTGGCATGGCGCTTGGGCCGCGGATGTGTTCATCTTTTTCTATGTTTACAATCGCGGACCACAAATATTGTGCTTTTAGCAGTCGGCGTTGTGCACTACGTTGTGCGATCTACGCTGTGCAATCGATGTGGTGACCTGATTTTGGTCCGCATTGAATGGTCAACATTGTTCTCGCAATTATCCAACCCGCCCGCTCACAACCTCATCAGCGAAACCCACGATGTGGCCACTGTGATGCTTGACTGGCGCAGGCTGGCGTATCACTGCGGTCGCGCTACCGCGCGCAGGTGCGCGCGCAGAGCAGCCAGTCAGTTTGGCGCGATCGACGCGGCCACGTTTGCGCTGACCACTGGGGACTTTCCAGCGTGTCTCACAGGCCGCGTTTACGCGCGGGCATTTTCACTGCGAGTCGGTGATTCGGACGGGCGCGGTAGACTGGCGACGTCTACAAAAGGCAAACGCGGTGATGTCTGCAGCTATGGTTGTGGCGACGGTGACGATGTCGACGACAATGCAGAGGACGGCGCCGATGCTGATAATGCCCGTGACGATGATGTGTCCACGCGTCGGCGAGGAAGGCTTGGGGAGGATCTCGACGTGAGCGCGCGGCCGGGGGGCGCGAGTGGCCTGCGTGGGGCTTTCGGCTGGGACCGTGCCCCCTCCCCCCCATTCCTCCTCCTCCTCCTCCTCCTCCTCCTCCTCCTCCTCCTCCTCCTCCTCCTCCTCCTGCTCCTCCTCCTCCTCCTCCTCCTCCTCCTCCTCCTCCTCCTCCTCCTCCTCCTCCTCCTCCTCCTCCTCCTCCTCCTCCTCCTCCTCCCCCTCCCTCCCCCTCCCCCTCCCCCTCGGATGATTGCGGCGCGCGCGCGCGGGAGACCCGCTTTATTCCATTGGGGGGCGCGTGACGATTTTGCCCTAATCTTGATGCGAAATCTTATTGGCATGTACGATTGCTGGTAAACGGGGGCGTGTGCAAATTATTTGTTGACAGGGGCGGGGGGGCGATAACGGTTTCAGTGGAAGGGTGCGTT